TAATAAAGGTGTGCATTGGGATTAATGGAATAATATTTTTACTGTGCTTAAAAATCGTTGAATTTATTGAACATAGTTTGGCTTATTCTATTTTAATCTTCTCATTTTTTTGTTGATAAACTTGTGCATTTTTGTTAAAAGCAAAATCTGCAGCATTGCGTGCTTTTTTTTAACGAGAGCATTTTGTTGAAACCAAATCAAAATATGATCTATCAAGCCAAGTTTCAGTCTGGGTTTTGACTTGTCCAATAATAACATCAGCTGGGATCATAACAAAGGTGAACAATCCATGAGGCAGTCAAAGTTGTGACCTTATGGAAATTCAGAAACTAGACCTTTAAAAGCAAAGATTTGTGAAGGAGGCAAACTTTTAATGAGATTTGGTGATCCACAGTATTGTTAACTTCTACATGGATTGCTGAGAAGTCTGCAGGATCTGTCTGGTCTGCATCTACCATTTGATGTACTCAATGAGCATTTGACCCGCAGTTTGCTTGTTAATTCAGACTGATTCTGGATGATACAACGTAAGTTCAAAATAGTAGAGCATTCTTTTAGTAAGTATCTGGGATTTCAAACTTTGCTGGCTTTAAACAACGAAGGTATAGTCCCTAACTAGATCATAACTTATATGGTACCATCTAGGAATATAACTAAAACCCACAGTATTAAGTCCTGCACTGAACGGTAGGAAATGTGTTGAAGAATGTTTCAAATTGCACAGCCTGATTAACTGAGGACATTGTGCCTGATTTCAAAGAACAATGTTATCACCCAGAGCGAAAGCCCACGGGTTTATTCTCGAGTGTTTTAAAAAGGGTAGTGAAGGTATCAGCATTATCTAATTATTTAGGTTGGATTAAAAACTGGGATAATCAGGGGCCACAATGCTGGATGTCCCATCATCATACTTTCATGGTCAGACCTCCAGGAATACCTGAAACCAGAACTAGCAACCTTTGTAGTCAGAAACAGATAGCTCTGGTCAAATGTTTGGCAATGCAGGAGCCTCTAGAGTGACACAATTGATAGGCCCCATACTCTCAGTCAATGAGTGGACTATATTTTTCCCACCCACAAGTGATCATTAGATTGTTAGACTCCAAGTCCCCAGGAGGTATTAAGAAGAATTGTTTCAAATCAGAAGCAGAACCAGTTAATTGACTGTTATATTCATATTCATGAATATACTATAGCAGATATTTGAAATTTCCAGATAATAAGAAGGTACACATTCTTCTGCTGACACTATAGAAGCTTTGAAAATTATTTTTATTAAAGACTATAGATATCTTGAAAGGGCAAGATTTAACAGAATCTTCCAGGACAATCCATTGGCAATTTTACTAATGGCCTCTACAAACCTGTGAATATGCAGCTCGGCAATGAAAATTGATAAGAGAGCGAATTGTTGCCAGAATTGTCTTTGTTAGATCTGTTCAAGTCCAAAGAGGATCTAACTTTGTAGAAAGAAATTCAAGTCATATTGAAGGCAGAGACCAGAAAAATCACTGCCAAATTGTGAGAGGTGAAGAACACTCTAAGCAGATACATGGCAAGTCAACACAAAGAGCAGGCAAACCAACCAAGGCGGCATGGTAGCTCAGTGTTAGCACTGCTGCCTCACAGGGTTAGGGACCTGGGTTTGATTCCACTCTTGGGCAACTGTCTATTTGGACTTTGCACATTCTTCCCATGTCTGTGTGAGTTTCCTCCAGGTGCTCTGGTTTCCTGCCACAGTCCAAAGATGTGCAGGTTAGGTGGATTTGCCATGCTAAATTGCCCACAGTATCCAGGAATGTGCAGGCTAGGCGGATTAGCTGCAAGAAATGCAGGGTTACACGGATAGGGTAGGGGGCTGGCTCTGGGTGGATGCTCCTCAGAAGGTCAGAGTTGACTCGATGGGCTGACTGGCCTGCTTCCACACTGTAGGGACTCTATGTAAAATTGTAAATGGTTACACTTGAAACTGGCTAATTAATTCCAAGACAAAATGGAGTTAATGTCTAAAGTATGGCTAATTAGCATTCCTACCTCGATACAAGGATACGTGTTTCACATTGCAGTGGAAATGGGTTTTGAGATAGGGAACAGTGCATAGGAAGCCATTGTAGGATTGGATTACAGGTCACCTAAAAGATATTTCTGAATTGCAAAATCAAGTTAGTCTTCTTGGATCTTCAGACAGGGGCTAGATAGAAGTGGCAAGTCACAACCAGGGGGAGGAATGGAGATGTTATCCAGAGAATTGAGTCTGTAACGGGGCAAAAACAGTGGCATTGATGTTTCCAAAATAGGAGGAAATTTCTGCTCATCCTTTACTGGACAAGCAGCCTGATATTTTAGGTATCAATAGGATGTCATTTATGACTTAGGTAACAGCTATTTTGGTACTAAGGCAGAGGCTGAAATCTGGTTAAAGAGATTTAAATACTGCATGAAGTTCTGGGAAAGGTGACACAAAATTGGGAGGTCACAAAAAATCAAGGCCTTTGGGTATGAAAGCGAAGTTGGAAATGGGAGACGTAGTTTGCAAGGAAAGTGGAATGGTGAACCAGGACGGACACGGTGGGTCAAATGGCTGCTTCTGTACAGTAAATTCTATGATTCTATGATCATGCTGAAATGTGGGTGGGAGATTGCACTCAAATTGATATGATCAAACTTGTGATAACTTTAAATGAGGCTGGAAAATTCACTTAGCTTAAGCTAGAAGAAGAATTTGCAGGAAAACTGAAAGACAATTCACAGTTAAAAGTTACCAGGTTGGGAAAGGAAATGAATGGAACTAAATTCCTGGGAACCAAGAATCCTTGCAGACTGAGTTTGGGAGAATAGAGTGTCTATTTGATGGACAGACTGAAGTATAACATTGCTGTTAGATTTTCTGGTAGATTTAAATGTTAATTAGAGATCATGTCTGTAATTCAAAGTATAGGTTATCTACTCAAATAGGTTTAATCAATGGTGGATCTACAATAAAATCTTAAAATGTGAAGTATTGTGCATTCCTTTCACATCTTCACTGGAAGTTCAATTTTTTCTAAAATATTATCAGTCTCATTGGCATTCATAATACTTGAAACCCATGTCTTCTCATTTATATCCTTCTGCCAATGAGAACAGATTATTTTCATCTCCATTTCCAAGTCTCCTCAAGATAATCTCCGCTCAAGCTCTCTACTATAAGGGGAACAATGAACTGGACATAAAAACAATGTTTCATAACAGTTCATCACAATTTCCTTGCTGTTGTATTCTATGCTACTATTTATAAAGCCTGGGATTCCTTATCAACCAGTTTTTCAATCATGTTTTGATCTCTGCTGATGTTAGTACTGGACAAGTCAGATCCCAGACCAAAACCTGTCTGAACATATTGTTTTTTACTGGAATGTGAGATTCTCCATCATATGGAAACTGGGTAATTTAAGAAACATGATTATAAAGATTGCTCTGTGGGGATCTGACAAGGATTCAATGTACTGAATGGTCTCCTTCTGTGCAGTAAATGATTTAATGACTAAATAATATCTTGAAACCCCATCGGTATTCAACTTATTTAGTTGCCTTAAAAAGTCAGAAATCACGACGCCAGATTATAGTCCAACAGGTTTATTTGAAAACACAAGCTTTCCGAGCTTCAGTCCTTCTTTAGGTCTAAGTGAGAGAGGTAGCATCAGACACAGAATTTATAAGTTAAAGATCAAAGGCTCACACCATTGATGAGGATGTACTAAACAAACCTAAGATGCTGCTAAATCTTTAATCAGTTAGAAGGTTTAATTGATTAATATGTATATGTAAATCCGCGAATTCCTTTCAAGTCACAGTCCTGAGAGAACTAAAGGTTTCATCAGTGTAAAGGAGAGGTGATATTTTAGGTCAGACAATTCATGTTAGCTGTGAGACCTTGTTTGGAACAAAAACAGAAATTGCTGGAAAAGCTCAGCAGGTCTGGCAGCATCTGTGGAGCAAAAAATCAGAACTAACATTTCGGGTCCGGTGACCCTTCGACACTGGACCCAAAACTTGAACTTCGGTTTTTTCTTCATAGATGCTGCCAATCCTGCTGAGCTTTTCCAGCAATTTCTGTTTTTGTTCCTGATTTATAAGATCCGCAGTTTTTATTTAGACCTTGTTTGGAATCTGTTTGTGTTTTAGTATGGAGTCGGACTGCTTTTATTTCTACAGTAGGAATTTATAAAACGCCACATTGACTGAGTCTATAAATTGTGTGATTTTTGAACAAAATAAATTGTATCTGCAAGTTCAAATTCATCCCATTGATTCATACGTGTGTGTGCGGTGAGTGTGAGGGGGGAGAGAGAAAGAAAGACTGTGTGTGAGAGAGAGTGATGTGTATGTGTGAAAGAGAGAGTATGAGGGTGTGTGTGAGGGAGAGAGAGATTGTGTGAGGGGGAGAGAGAAAGAAAGAGTGTGTGAGAGGGAGACAGTGTGGGTGTGTGAGAGAGTGATGTGTGTTGGTGTGAAAGAGAGAGTATGAGGGTGTGTGAGGGAGAGAGAGAGACTGTGTGTGTGTGTGTGTGTGAGAGAGAGACAGAGTGTACAGTGTGGTGGGGTCACCTGTAGTGCGACATGAACCCAAGATCCCCGTTGAGGCCGTCCGTCTTGAAGTTTCTCTGGTGTTGTAGGTTGATTTGAATGAATCCTCCACAAGACACAAATGACAATATCAACGCTGGTGCCCAAAATCCTGAAGAACTTTAATAAATCTGTGAGACGCCACAAAAACATTCTTCCGAAACGACTGCCAGTCTGAATCAGCTTTTCAAATGAGATTGCTGACATTATAGACCTTCACATCCGAAGAATAACACTTGATTGGCTTGACTAAACTAAGACAACTTATTTTATAAATTTAACTACAACCTCTCGCCTTCTCGGAAGCCGCATGGTAAATTGCAAAAACGGAACTGAAGTGAGAAGCTGGGTCGCGGAAGTGGATCGGTCCGGACACTTATTGCTGTGGGACGGAGTGAGCGTGCGGTGGCGGCAGCGCGAGGGAACGGAGAGAGGTAACGGTCACTCGGAGAGAGTCATGGACTAGTGCAGAAGACTGGCGTCTCTCCCTGAAGGAGTTCCTGTTAGATGTTGTGTCTTTTTTGTCCACTCTTGTCTTCGGTTTTAATTTAAATCCACTGAGGTTGTAGACCCGGAGGTATGGAAAAGGCAATGGGCCGAGCCCCCGGTTGCGTCTGATCAGCAGCATCAGCACCATTGCTGACAGAGTGAGAGCGACCTCCGGGAACGTGGGGAGGGCAGGGAGAGGGAAACAGGACCGCTGGCGAGGTAAGGGACTGGCGTGGAACGTAAGGGGTCTGGAGAGATGACATGAGTTCAAAAACTAGGCTCACAATCCAGTACGCTACAGAGAACTTTTTAAGTTGTTGGGCCCCATCGGCATTTTTAGTTGGACAAGGTCAGAAATCACACGACACCAGTTTATAGTCCAACGGATTTATTTGAAAAACACAACCTTTCGCAGCCTCACTCCTCCTTCAGGTGTTCGTGAGAGAGGCAGTATCAGACATAGAATTTAGAAGTAAAAGGTGAAAGAGTCACACCACTGATGAGGATGTATTAAACAAACCTTAGATGCTTTGAAGTTTTTGAGAAGATTTGTAGCTCGGGTTGTGGATGAGGTTGTAGACTTGCTCGCCGAGCCGGTGTGTTTGGTTGCAGACATTTCATCACCCTGCTAGGTAACATCATCAGTGCACCTCTGGTGAAGCGTTGGTATTCCGTCCTGGTTGTCATTTATATGCCTTGGTTTGCTGGGGTGATTGGCTTTATTTCTGGTTCTGTTTTTCAGTGGATTGTATATCTGGTCCAGTTCAATATGTTTGTTGATGGAGTTCTGGTTGGAATGCCAGACCACCAGGAATTCCCTGGCATGTCACTGTTTGGATTGTGCTATTGTGGATTTGCTGCCCCAGTCAAATTCGTGTCCTTTGTCTGTGTGTATTGAGACCAGTGAGAATTGATCGTGTTTCTTGGTGGCTAGTTGGTGTTCGTGTATCCTTATTGCCAGTTTTCTTCCAGTTTGGCCTATGTAATATTTCTCACAGTCCTTGCATGGTATTTTGTATATTACATTAGTTTTATTGATTGTGGGTATGGGGTCCTTGATGTTCGTCAGTAGCTGTCACAGGGTGGTTGTTGGTTTGTGGGCTACCCTGATAGCTGGAGGTCTGAGTGGTCTTGCGGTCATCTCTGATATGTCCCTAATGCACAGTAGGGTGACTTGTATGTCTGGTTGTGTTATGTCTTCTTGTTATGGTCTGTCACGAAGGTAACGGCGGATTGTACTTTTTGTGTGTCGATTTCTTTTAAAAACTCTGTATACGTGCTCCTGTTCTTTGTGTTAAAGCTCTTAATCAGTTAGAAGGTTTAATTGATTAATATGTATATGTAGATCCCTGGATCCCTTTCAAGTCAAGGTCCTGAGAGAACTGAAGGTTTTATCAGTGTAAAGGAGAGGTGACAGTTTAGGTCAGACAATGCACGTTAGGTGTGAGGTCTTGTTTGGAATCTGTTTGTGTTTTAGTTTGGGGGTCAGACTGGTTTTATTTGTAAAGTAGGAATTTATAAAATGGCACATTGACTGACTGTCTATAAATTGAGTGGTTTTTGAACAAAACAAAATATATCTGCAAATACAAATTCACCCCATAGATTCACACGCATGTGTGCAGGAGGGAGTGCGCACGCGCACACTGTCTCCCTCGTGCGCGCGATGGAGTGAGGGAGAGAGCGCGTACGGGGATAGAGCCTGTGTGTGAGAGGGAGAGACTTCTCACACACTGTCACTCACATGCACACACTCTCTCCCTCACTCACGTGCGCACACTCTAATGCGCGCGCACTCTCTCCCCTCTCTATCTCACACTTTTTCCCCACACACACACTAACATGTGCGTGCACACACTGTCTCCCTCGTGCGCGCGATGAAGCAAGGGAAAGAGCTTGTGCGCGTATGGGGGATAAAGTGCGCATGTGTGTGTGTGCGCATGCGATGTAGAGAGTGTGCGTGTGTGCATGTTGGAGGGAGTGAGTGTGTGCGCATTCACACACACTCTCTCTCCCATGCACACGCAGTCTCTCTCCCATACGTGTGCACACATTCTCTCTCTCCCATTCTCTCTCACGCGCGCACGCACACTCTCCCACTTACTTTCACGCACACAAGCATGCACACACTCTCTCTCTATCCCACACATACACGCACCCACACGCGCATGCGCACACGCACTCTTTCCCACAGTTATGCACATGCATACGCAAGTGCGCACACACACATGCGCACGCATATACCCTCTCCCATGCGTGCACACATCCTCATTAGTGGTGTGAGCCTTTGACTTATAAATTCCGTGTCTGATACTACCACTCTCTCTAACACCTGAAGGAGGAGTGAGGCTTTGAAAGCTTGTGTTTTCAAATAAACCTGCTGGACTATAACCTGGTGTCGTGTGATTTCTGACCTTGTCCACCCCAGTCCAATACTGGCACCTCCACATCATATTTTTCGTTGGATATATCCTTTACTTTCTAAAAAAAAAAAGACACCTCTGGAAAAATCCAAGCCTGAGTGCTGTTTTTGTTAACATTTCTTTCTCCGTCTGTACAGCAGGATACTTGCATCAGCTGATTATGTATTTCATTGTTGTTTTTTGGTGTCACATTTTGCATGAATTAGTAACTGATATATTTGCTTACAAAACAGTTGTCATTATGCACAAGAAGTCACATAAAAACTAACAGGAAGCCATAACTTTATAGATGCATGTTTTCTGTTACAGTAAGTCTATGAAATGGGCTTATTGTTGCATTTTTCAGCACATTGCTGAAGACAGACACTCTTCTATTTCACTAAGGTGTACATATGATTTTTTTTAAAAATGTCTTTTCCAAACCAATTGTGTAATGTTTTGTCTGTGCATTATATAGAGTAGTAACTGATTTGGTGTAGCACATGGTCATTTGTAGCCCTCCACTCTTCTGGCACCGTGTCTATATCTAATAAAGGTTGAAAAATTGTGGTTTGAACTTCTGATTCCAACCTTGCTGCCCATTGATTTCCAGTCACAATATTGCTGAACCATTAGACTTGCAAAAATAGCAGCTTGTTACTCCTTGTAACTTGAGGTTGCTGCATTTGCACAGTTGTACAAATTAAACTTGCCATAGATTGTAAGAGCTATTTAGAGCATAAAGATCCAATTATTGATAAGATGCATGTTCCTGCAATGCTTCAGAAATGCCCTTTTATTAACTGACGATTGGTGTAAAAGATACAGATATGCAGAATTCTTAATGCGTCAGGATAACTTTTTAGACCAGTATGAAGTGAGCACAAGGGGAAGTTGAGGACTCAGTTTTGGATTTTCCACTCTCTCAGTTTTATTTCCTAACAGTGAAAAATATTTTGTCATGACCAGGATGCCGTGAGAATTATTGTAGTTATGGTAGAGGACAAAGATCAAGAAAATAGAGTGACATTAACTCAATTTAAAAAAGAAGAAATGGCAGCAGCAACAGTAAGAACAATGAAGAAATGAAAGAGTGGTGGCAGCAGTGACGGAACAAGTGAGTCCGGTGGTGAGATAGAGTAGAGGAAGTAGCAGAGAGCAAAAGAGCAGTACTGAGAGTAAGAACAGAGTGACGCGAGTAGGGTGATTTCAAAATTCAGCGTTATTGACCATGTTCAAAAAAATTTTAGTGACACATCAAAAACTGTACTTCACATGTCTTAAGTGACTGCATGAATAGGAAGTGGCTCCAGCCCGAGTTCTGGGCTTGAGGGGCAGCTGGATTCACTGAAAGAAGGATGAGAGTTTTCTGAACCATACATTTCAGGAGATAGCTATTGCACAGGCAGAGTTCAGGTTAGTAGGCAGTGGCCATCTGGAACATTAGGAAGTAGTTAGTAGTACAGGAATCTTCAGTGCTGTGAGTGGCAATGCTCAGAAGGATTGCCGCCTAGACCATAGCACCAGCAGGCAAAGAAGTTCAGGACAGAATAGCGTAGACAATTCTTTAATCAACTGGATAATATTTCTTTAAATGTCATTGAGATTTCATGTGGTGTTTTGCTTCCCTGGTGCCAGGGTAGGTACATCATGGAGGAGTTATTCTGTAGAGGAAAATGTATGAGACAGAAACTGTGGTACATGCTGGTACTAAATGACCTAGAGAGGGCATGTAGAGACCTGCTAAGGGCAGCTGCTCAAGAGCTAGGGTAGACACTAAAATATAGCACCTCGAGAGAAATTGTCTCTGGATTACTCGATCCAGAGTAGAAATAGAAATGTAGAAAGGGTCAGTGTGTGGCTTGAAGCATGATACAATTGGAGGGCTTCAGAAATTTGATGTGTTGGGACAATTCTGGGGCAGTAGGCATCTATTCAAAAGGGACTGCATCTAAATAGGACTGGGACTAATGTCCTTGTGGGGAGTTTACTAATGTAATTGGGGAGGGTTTAAGTTAAATAAATGGGCGATGTGTGATTGGCACCAACCTACAGAAGTAGCAAAGAGGAATAGGTGCATAAAATAAGTGTTGGCGAGTACTAGGGTGGGTAGTAATACTATATTAGATATAAATGGACTAAGCCTACGATGAAATCAGACAGGTTTATAATGCTTAAAGTATTGGCAAAGATTTGTAGCTTGAGTTTTGGATAAGGTTGTTGACTTGCTTGCCAAGCTGGCTTGTTTTTGTTCAGACCTTTCGTCACCATGCTAGGTGACATCATTAAACGGGCCAGGACACACTGCAACACTCCAGAATTACGCCGGGAAGAAGAACAACACTTATACAAGATCCTCGCCTTAAACGGATATCCTTGCAACTTTATCCACAAATGCCTACATAACAGACAACAACAGGAGGACACAGTACGATCGAACACACTTACCTACATCAAGAACATATCAGAACTGACAGCAAGACTCCTAAGACCACTAGGAAACATGGTGGCCCACAAGCCATCAGCCACTCTATGACAAACACTTACAAGGATTAAGGACCCCTCCCCACAACGTGCAGAACGGACGTGGTTTACATAGTACCATGCAACAACTGCCACAAACATTACATCAGGCAGACAGGAAGGAAACTAGCCATCAGCATACATGAACATCAGCTACCAGCAAAACGGCACGATGAACTCTCCTTAATGTGTGTACACTTGGACAACGAAGGCCATTATTTTAACTGGGACAAAGTAACCGTAGTAGCCCAAGCCAAACATAGCCATCACGGGAATTCCTAGGGGCACGGTTCT